ACACACACACACACACACACACACACACACACACACACACACACAAACACACAGTGTCTTCAGATGCATCTGTAAACTCAGACTGGGGTAAAAATGTCATTTGGTCTTTACGAACACAGACAGTCTCAACAAGCATTCACTGAAACTTGTGTGCGCTCCTGTGCATGCGTGCGCTGTCAGTTGGCTGGCATCCGCTCACACCCACCCCTGCTCACATATATTGTCATTATATATTTTTTTAATTAGTTCTTCTGTGAATCCAAGTGAATATTTGTACAAGATATGAAGATATTCCCTCGAGGTGTTGTTGAGATAGTATTCACAAGAATGAGACAGACAGTTGGAACACATAATGCGGACATAATGATGGAGCAGACATAAAATTAATCTGCCCCAACAGCATCTAAATTCTATGTGCAAATTAAAATCAACAAGTTGTTAATGTATCGGCCTGATACATTAACAACTTTGTACCATAAAGCCTAATGAGTCCAACTTACACCACGTTCCTGTTCATCTGCAGCTGGACAGTCCATGAATGAAACATTTCTGCGAGTTTGATTTAATAAAATATAGTGTACCTTTAACCATCTGTATGCACTTACAAAGGAGAGCAAGACTTGTCAGATGATGGCATTGAGTAATAAAGGTCAACAAAGTATAACTAAAAAAGAACTAAATATTTCCAAGCATTGTTTAGTGTCTGAGAGTTGATGGAACGGGTGATAGAAGCTGCCTTGTGCTTCTCACAGTCAAATGCCTGATACCTTTTTCTTTCGTCTCTTTTTTTTCTTCTTCTGTCGTTGCTTAACGAAGCCGTCCCCCGTGCCGCTCTGCTCCTTCTTTACACTTCCTGTAATGCAATTAAGAAAACAAGTTTTCTGTTCCATTCTACCAGGATGGTCACATGTTGTCCATGGATATAACTATAAATTACTTTCACTGGGATGCATGTACAGCACCCACCTGAAGGGAGAGGGGTGTGAGCACTGTGCTGTGGCTCTCCATCCTCTTCGAATGGGCTCAGACACAGAAAGAGAGTCTTCAGAACTGAATTTGAAGTGGCTGCAGATCCTACAACAGGAACAAAGAGTTAACAGCACACATCTAGAGCTCAGCTCGACACAAAGGCTGCTTTCAGACGTGCACTGCAGATAATCACGCAACGTTTTCCGGAGAGGGTGTATGTGTGAACGCAAATGTCCGAGTGAGAGGCTCCAAACTTTCTGCAGTTTCTCCTGCCAGTCCCTTATTTTCTCTAAAGATTCTGGAGAATGTCTGAACAAGCTTGTGTAAGAGATCCTTCAGGAGATCCTCTGGATTTTTTTACGAGCGTGTGTGTGTGTGTGTTGATGACGTTTCTAACGCACAGCAGACGCACAAATTCAAAAAACTAAAAAACTACAAATATGTCAGGTTGAAAAAGCGGTGCCACAGATTTCGGTGATAAAAGGCTGGTGACAGTGTTGATGTGCCGTCAACAAAATCACATGATCTCCGCAATGGAATTTATACATTACCTCCTGTCTCTGCATGCTGCTATTCATAAGACATGTGACGTGGCCTTACCTTTGGGCGATGAGAGGTCGGGCAGCTGATGATGGGCCTGAGATGTGGTTGATTCTGCACCGTCACCACAAGGAGTCGGGCTGAGAGAATCAGACACAAGGCGACAGGCGGGATTCACCTGCTGCTTTGTAGGTTGGCTCACAGCCTCAGATAAATCTTCTCCGTTTTCATTTTTCGAACGAGGAGAGAATTTCGGAGATGTTGGTCTGTGAGAAGATTGCTCGACGTCAGTTTTGACCAGACGTGGAAGAGGCATCTCTGCATTGGAAGCTCCTTGATGAGAGTCTGATGAATGAGTGGCGTTATCAGGCAGCTGGTTTGACTCTTGAGACGAGGAGGCGGTCCTCGAACAATCTGGCTGAGACTCCTTGCGTGGCAGAGGAGCAGCACTGAGAGGGGAAGAGAAGAGGCAGAGGAAGGACCTGGCAGAGGGCTTGTCAGGTTCAACCACAGTTTGGACGTGATTATCGTCACTCCTGGAAGGTGCGGACAGTCGAGTAGAGCAGGAAGATTGAAGCGAAGTGGAGGTTGTTGCAAAATCTGGAGTGGGCTTCTGGCTGTCAGTGATGGGGCTTGCAAAAAGGCTATGAAATGTCTTATTACATCCAAATGAAGAGTCAGCACAATGTGCCGTGTTGCTGCTGCACTCTGCTGTGGCGTCAGAGGAAGTAGGTTGTTGTGTGCCAGGTTGGAGGGTGGGTCGTAGTTGTCTGGAGTGCTCATGTGTCTCAGTGGGTTGGTTTGCTGCAAGATGATGAACGTCAGAGTTTCCAGCGTTATTTGTCTTGGCGGAGCTGGTGACAGGTTCAGCGGGAACAGCAGCTCCACCTTTAAACTCTGGCAACCCTGAAGAGGGACCAAGAAGCTTTGCTGAGGCTTGTGATTTCGACATCAGACCAGACAGATGTGGCCGCATCTGTGGAGGATTAAATGTCTGGCTTTTGAGCTTAGTGGGGAAAACACCTTGACTTTTACACTTCACAGACTGTAAAGTATACACAGGCAGGTGGGGGCTTCTTTGCATATCTACTTTTCGAAACGGAAACGCAGACCTCTCTGCCACTGTCGCAGGGGAATACAACAACTCTGACTTAACTTCACAGGAAGCTCTTGGAGAAGGTTTCAAGGATGCAGCTACTGCCCCAAAGTGTTTCTTGTCATCCCCACTGGCCACAGTAAGATCAGGACATGTCTTTGATATAAGGGCAGGGTGCGTGTGGAAGGATGGCGGGCACTTGAACTTTTTCTCCTGGGATTCATTTGCTTCATTTCTGGTATTTGGAGAATACGAGACCTTGTCAGTGTTTGAGCTCAGCAGAGGATCAGTGAGCTGTTCACAGTCAGTTCTTGGAGCATATGATACACACCGTGCAGTAGGAGGGGAAGATTTGTGGTCAAAGATAAGACTTGCTGCCGATTTACAAGACCTGACAACATCAACAGAGTAGGGAGCTTTGCTTTGGTCCGCAGAGCCTGACGTGCAATCAGAGGAATTCTGTGGACCAGAGAGAGATGCAGAGTCTTGACTTCCAGGAGTTGTATAGAAACTAGGGAACGGTTTGAAAAGCTGAGGTCTGAGCATCGCTTCGACTGAATAACAAACTGGCTCCTTGTGATTAAGCGGCGCTGACAGGGGGCTGTGAGGATGGGCACTATCTGAGGCTTCTCGAGGGACAGCCACCTCTGGGATTTCACACTGTTCTTCAGTCTTACATAAAGCTTCCTGCTCAGTGTTTGTTTCTCCACTGTTGTAAAAGTTAGGCCTGGAAAATAAAACAAAACCAGGTAACAGTTAAATCCAAAGGTCCCAACTTGTACGGATGATTAATTATTAGATGAAATACAAACCAGGAATAACTTTAATGTTTCCATGACAGGTGTGAGTTTGACTGTGCATACCTGAGTGGTTGTGTTAGTACATCAGGGGTTTTCTCAGACTCTGTCATTTCAGTCTCGTCTGTGTTTGCTGGTTGTTCTGACGACTCCTGCTCGTTCTTTTTTGAAAGTTCATAAAGGTCCTTGTCCCGTTTTAATACCTGCAGTGAGAAGTAAAAGGAAACATTTTCAGCACACACACAAACTGTAAACACACTGTACGCACACACACAGCATATAAAATACTCAGAGGAACATTTACATACACACCTCCTCCAACAGTCGGCTAGTGGTCTCATTAAGTGGATCATGGGAGAACTTGCAATCTACGTCGTGAGAACACTTTCCTTTTCTGTGGAAGAACTTGCAGGGAAAGGACTGTTCTGTTTAGTAAAGGAAATATCACATGTTCAACAGCCTCTAGTTTCTAATAATTACCAACAGGGATTTAGGACAGAATGATATATCCACCAATTCTAGAAATCTGTGTGTCACAAGAACCATTCATCGTATCAGCTTCACATTGTGCGTGTTGCATTGTTAAGGCCTGAGGAAATGCTGTGTCCAATTTCAGGCCATTTGAAAACTCAACATTTTCAATATTAACAAACTTTGAATAAAGAGCAACCAGCACTCTGCAGCAGTGGCATCAACGCAAATCTCCAGTTCTGGGTTCTACATACTGAATCGTAAACTTTGAATGAACAGGAGACCTGCAGCGGGTCTCAAATACAGCAGGTCACTTACAGTTGTAGAAAGAAAGCTGACCCCAGGCCAAACCAACAGCCTATTCCAAACAGACAGGTTTACAGTGGACACTACACAAGTTATACTAGTTATTAGAGGTTAAACCAAAGGATATTGTGCATGTACGGGCAGCTCTCCCCTTTTGTGCAGAATCCTTGGACGTAATACTTGCAAACTTCTTTGATGAAATCGTTGTAACCCTTAACGTGCTTCAGTTGGCAGTCGTCACCCTGCAAACAGGAAAGAATAAAGAAAAGCACCGTCAGGACAGTGTCGTCTAACAACGAGACAGTTTTCCATCTTAGTCACTGAAACTTGTCGACGTTTGTCATAACCTGCCTTGATGCAGCGTCCCCAAATGAAATGTCGACAAAGTAACTGTCCATCCACCAGCAAAGCATTCTGGTCTTTGAACTCTTGTGTCATAAGTCTTGTGGGTGGCACTTTAAAATCCTAACAGGAAAGATGAGCATGACCATTAGATTAACAAATGAATATAAATATATATATATATTTCTTAAATACATTTTCATTTTTACATCCTTGCATATTTTTATACCCCTATCTCTTCTGGGGCATTTAGATTTATTTCTAAAGCCCTTATTTAAATGCTTCAATGAGGAGTTTCCCATTTCTGATGTTGCTATAGAGACTGTCTACAGTAAAAAAATAAATAAAAGGAAAATACTTACAGGGACCAGGCTGGACTATATGATTGAATAGTTCAGGTAATAAAAACTACATTCAGACATGTCCATAGCTTTCAAAACACAACAACACCTTTTGATTGTTACTGATTTATTTATAATTTGTTAATCAAACTTTTTTTCCTCAAGTGTCAAAAGCTTTTTCTACCCATGGCTGTTTATTATCAGGCCTAGTTAACTGTCAGTGTACAGTTGAAATGCAGCAGACAACAGGCTGCTAATATTTGATATCTCTCCTCACAGTGTGGTCAGGAGTTTGCTTACCTGCTTGCCATCTTTACGTTTACCCTGTCCTCCAAATTTTCTTGGATTACATCTAGTCTGATAGTGGCCACCTCCATTAGTAAATCGTCCTCTATCCTTCTGATGATGCTGGTTTTTCCTGCCGTCCCCCTGATTTTTCTGTTGCTTGTAGTTCTTTTTTGCTTTGTGACCTTTGTGATGCATGTTCTTGTGGCCAGAATTATCACTGTGGTTGTGTTTCATGTCGTTGGAGAAGCCAGTCCTCGAATGTTCAGTGTTGGACATATGGTAGTTTACGGCTGAATCATCATCTTTAACGGGTTTGGTGTTGTACGTCCAGTTACTCTGGGCTTCGTAACCTTGTTTCTGTGGAAAAGGAAATCATAGAAGTCACACATTGTAAGGTTTATCAGAACATTTTCAATTTCAGAAATACTAATTCATATTGTGCAGACAAGCAGCACAAACCACAGACACGATCATTACAAAATACACTTACATGTGGACCAAGATAAACATATGGCTGCTTAATTCAGCACAAACAGTTTTATTGTTTCATTCTTATTCAAATAAGAATCTAAAAGACATATCGATTAAACTGTGTGGTCCTTTTAGAGAATAGACTTTTTACCAGAGGAGCTTGTAATATTTTGTCTACTTCACATATACCACTGACAGACCACTAAATAATATTTTCAATAATATCAGACTGTTTACTTCATATTTCATTGATATGAAAAGATTCATTTGTCCGTGTCTTCATTAGTGCCCTTCGGAGTCATTGAATGTATGAAATGACTTGTTTTTCCCCACAGATATGAAGATATTCACCTCCACCAAGGAGATTATGTTTTCACCACTATCTGTTTTTTTTGTTAGTTGTTTGTTTTATGCAAGATTTTATAAAAACCACTGGACAGATGACCAAACATCAGATGCAAAATGTGTTTCACTTTCTTTATCATTGCAAGGCAGGGTTTTTTTCTGAACATTTTCACTGATGTCCCAGTAAATAATTCATGGATCTTGATGAAAAACTAAATCCCTCAAATTTCAGGGACTATGTGTATCGCTGCAGCTTGTTTTAATTTAAGGAGACTGTCGGGCCTTGGCGGAGGTATGAGCTCTGCCGTTCTAAATTTGTGCTGTTTAATCTTGAATCTTGTGCAATGAAGAAAGATTTGACCAATTTAAGAAAAGCACGAGTCATCATGTGCTGAGCGTCAGAAGTACAGAGGTAAGAGACTGGGCGGTCGACCTCAGGTTACTCCTCTGAAAATCTGGTGCATCTATTTTTGTACAGTAGCCCACTTATTAACAAGTCAAATCTGTTTGATTATCAGTATTAACCATTCCACTGCTGGGCAGATTTCATGTGATGTGCAATAGATAACTTTGCATGAAGGAAGGTAAGCAAGGTCAGGAATTAGACGGAAGCAGTTGTGCGATAAGTTTGTGTTGTCTGTCTGTCTCTCCTCTTTATTAATACGTTGTTCTATTTGTCTATTTATGTCAGAATTGGGACATTTTATCATTGGATTTTATTGTTTTCATATTTACCTACTAGAATTATTGATATCCTTCGTACTTCATGTTAGACATTTTGGATTTCTGTGACTGTGCATAAGTTATGGCTGTTGTTCATGCGGGTTCTTCCATACGAGCTCGTGTGGAGGCGCCTGTGTGAAGCGTGATGAAGGAGCTGAACCTCACCTTGTGCTCAGGGCCTCTCTGCTCAGCCTGGCTTCTCCTCTTTCTTTTTCCAGCTCCACTGTGGAACCAAACAACCCAGCAGACAAACATGAGGGATTCTGCAAACACCACAAAGCTGCGGACTCAGGTGGCGTTACGCACCTGTGCGTGACGTCTTGGTCCAACGGTAATCCCGTGAACAGGTTCGAGAACGCCATGTTTGTTTGTCCTCTTCGTGATGCATGTGTTGCTCGGTGGGGGAAATCCTTCAGCTCTTCTGTCTTGGCCGCAACAGTTTAGCTAAAGCTGCAGTCAGTGGTTTCTCACATGGCTTCGTACATCACCGCATCGCCTCCTTCTTCTTCCGTGTTTTGGACTGACGTCACAGCTCGGTCTTCTTCTTCTTCGAGCATTTAAAGCAGTCAGCCTCCATCGTGTTGCATGACTGCCCCCCTGTGGCTGTAGTTGTCACTTACAGTTCAGTGGTTGTGTGTTGTGCTCTTCACAAAAGGACGAGTGCTTCTGTTTGTGTCTCCTCCCTGAGATAAACCAAATATATAAACCAGTCCCATACAGCCAAGCCTTTGTGTGAAGTCGTTATTTTCTTTGTATTATTCTTTGATTCCCCAATTTCAACCTTGCATGTTCTTGAATTAAGCATTCTTAGGAAAATGTGTTTTTTTTCCTGAAAAAATAAAATAAAATCTAAATAGGAAACCTGTCTGCTTGGTTGTGCCTGTGTGTGTGGTTATAATTATTTCTCAAGTTTTAAACATTTGAAATTTACAAAATAGTTCTGCGGTGAAGATGAAAATGACTCAAACGAACCAATTGATCAATGGAAAATCACAGTACACACAACCTGGTCTCTGAGAATCGATTTTTTTCGTTTGCTTTCTTGTTTTTAATGCTTAGATACACAATACACAAGTATTCAGTATCAAATCTCCTTCAAAAACCTGGTTTATTTATACAGAATATTTACTGCATTAATCCAAAACATGAGGTAGAGGTATTATTTCTTATTCTTGTGTTTAATTATTATTGACAGACACTTGCTGAGTGAAATTACATACAGTTCTGCTCTGTTCTTTAGAATGTTTTCTTTAAATGGCAACCAGCTTCCTGTCCACACAGTAAATGTCTCATCCCACAGAGAGATGATCAATGAGCAGCTTCACAGGACACAGGGAGGATGCTCTCACATTTTCACTTGATGCTAAAGTGAGAGGGTTTCATATTAATGGGATTAAAGTGTAATTTAATCTATTTGGCCGAATGATGAGTAAGCACACTCTTTGTCAATCAGCGAGCATGATAAAAAGACATGTTGAAAAAGATGAGATAGAAGCTGGACTTTGTTCCTCCACATATGAGGCTGTCCCTGTGTGTGGCTCAAAGTTCAGTCCTCACAGACAGTTGCAGCGTTGCCTCTGCGAGGGTATTTCTGTTTTCCCACTCAGTATCCGAAGTTTCACTGTGTTCACACTGAGCTGTCTGAACCTCAGAATGACCCGCTGGGCCCTTCTCACTCCCCTGCTGCTCCTGTTGGGCCTCTTCCTCCACAGTGCTGTCAGTCAGGAGGCTGACGACTCTGCAGCAGCACCGCCTCCACCGCCACCATCAGACCAGGCCTCCGATGGCAAGCAGGCAGAGGACGAGAGCGATGAGTGGGCAATGAACACGGTCAGAGGAGGCTTTGAGGCCGTCGGCGGCTACTTTGACTCTATGCTGGAGTTCATGGGCGGACGTGACGGAGTGTGCCAATACAACTGTAGATATGGTAAGTCTGTTCAACAAATAAGTGGCATGGTGCAGAATGAGATACACAAACCCAACACAACATATGTTTTCTCTTTTTGGTTTAAATTGACATTGGCAAAAAAAGAAAATCAGCTTATTTCAATCTTTTAACTGACGTGTGACGATCTTCATCTGACCACACATTAGACAGTGACCTTCATCTGTCAACATAAGGGTTTTATAAATGTAAGGAGATTCAAATGTAAAATGAAAGCAAGTTCTCATTTAAATTATATTTTTTAAAGTGGTTTTAAATTAAAGACACTTTAAACCAAACATTTTTGACCAGGAAATAATGTTTCTATTAGCCACGTTATTACAATGAAAAAAATATGAATTACTTCAACGAGTGTAAATGCACCTCTCTTGCTGTTCATTGGATTATCTAATATGATCAATAAGAGTATATAGGATTTAATGGATGGTGCAACATATTACACCGAACTCAAACACCTAAAGATGAATAGGATTTATAGGCTGATATTGTAAATTCATCCACTTATCTTTGTTATCAACTGGGATTGGGCCTCGAAATGGACTGTGACCCCAGCGTGATAGGAGAGGTTTCATGTGGAATGTGTCAGATATTTCTTTGGTTGTCAAACAGAATCCAGCCCATGTGCACTGTGCGTGTTGTGAAACACGACTTACATCTGATCTGCTCTCAGGTAAACCTCCCGTTCCTCGTCCTGGATACCAGATGCCAGAGCCTGATGGATGCAGCTCCTACTTCTTTGGACTTCCTGTTCCAGAAGGGGTATGTTTCCTCTGACTGCATCAGGGACATTCTTATAGGAACTACATAAAGTGTTTATGTGAATCTGTCTTCCAAAGAAAAAGAAAAACGACTGGAGTGGAGTAGGGAAGGTGGCTGAAATGTATTTTGGACTTTTTTAAAAACAAGGTGAAATTACTTCCATAGTAACATCTCTGAGCTAATGGAACAAGATTTTTATCAGCCAAACTGCATCTTTACCAAAGTTGAGGAGGAATTATGGAAACTAGGTCTGTTGTAAATAAGTGTACTGTGAAGGCAACTGTTTGCTGGTGAAATAATGGATCCTGAGAGAGTTTATGTTCCTGACTAACTATTATGATCAATGTCTACAGTCTCTAAAAACTAAAACCCAGACACACACACACACACTGAATCACCTCTGTTGCGTGCCAGATGGATATGGGCATCCCTGCCATGACCAAGTGTTGCAACCAGCTGGATATGTGCTACGACACCTGCGGCTCCAACAAGTACCGCTGTGACTCCAAGTTCCGCTGGTGCCTCCACAGCATCTGCTCCGACCTCAAGAAGAGCCTCGGCTTTGTTTCAAAGGTTGAAGGTCAGTAACATTTCAAACTTTCGTTGACGAGTGCAAGTTTACAGAGCCTCTCCAGTTCATCAGCTTCTCCAGATATTCAAATTTAATGAAATTAAAATTAAAAAGTCCGAATTAAAGGTTCCGTGTGTAGGATTTAGTGCCTTCTAGTGGTGAAGTTGCAGATTGCTTTGATGGTGAAAACCCCTCCCCTTGTCCTCAGCATGTGAGACGGTGGCAGACTCCTTCTTCAACACAGTGTGGACTCTGGGCTGCAGACCCTACATGAACAGCCAGCGAGCAGCGTGCTACTGTCAAGGAGAGGATAAAGATGAACTTTAAATGAGATTAACACATCATACCCACTCTCCTATTTATAGAAAAACAGCAGCAACTCCTCGATGATGTCTGATGATGGTACTCTGAGTTATAGCTGTGCAAAGACTGCTGTGTGACTGCTTGAGTAATTTATTCAGAAGGTCTTGGTTCTGGTTTTGTTCAAGGCTGTTGTTTTTTGGGTATTATTGTTTGAAAGCTCAAATGTTCACAAAGCTCACAAGTTGCGAGACAAATCTGGAAGTATTTGTTTTTGCATGTATGCAGACTGGTATTAGCATCTATACAGCTTGAGCTTTTTCCACAGGGAGAAAGGCCTGAGGTGTGAACTTCATTTAATGTTAAACTACTGTGCAGCGTTTTCAGTGTTACCATGTGACACTGAGGATAATCCACTGTATGAATAAATGTTATTAACACACTTGTGAATGTTATCCTCTCATTTCCTGGTTTATTATAATACAACACCATGCAACAGTTCTGAGATCAGTATTCTGCATTANGAGAGAGAGAGAGAGAGAGAGAGCAGTGAGTAGCAGAGTGTGTGTGCTGTTACCTTTCCCTCAAGTTCTGGGACTATCATGTAGAAGCTACACAATTCTTTTATAGTAATCAACCGCTTATAGTGATGAATTTGGCCTGTGACAAATGTGTTCACTATGAGCAGTTTCCATTTTGTAGGAGGGCGGCGGTTGCACGCAATCGATGGAGGCGGCCACCTCGTAATTCTAGATGCAGGAAAAACATTTTATTATTATACTGAGAGAGTTGGGTACCAGTTCTGAATTCCAGGTATCGGCATCAGTATCCGTTCAAATGTGAATGGTCTATGTATAATAACATAATAAATTGACATTTTGCAGTTTAAACAGAAGAACAATTTCTCACCTTACACAGATTTGAGTGGGTGTTGCCCATTGTCAGGTCTCTCCACACGTGTTAGAAGTCAGGAGTCTTGCTGGGTTAGGACTTGTCACTTAGTCGTCCCTGAAGCACTTCTATATTCTCGACTGTGAGCTTAGGGTCATTATTGTTGGGAGATGACCCTCAAGCCCATTTAATGAGTGGTGATGTGTGTTGAGGTTGTTTTGACTATCCTCACACATTACTGTATATGCCACTATATATTATGTATATATAGTGTATATTACATTATATCTGTACACCATTAAGAGAGGAGTGCCTGGCTAGTTCCAAAGATACTCCCTTCTCTCTCTGAGCAGTACCAAGGTCAGCTTATAGATTAAGGACCAACCAACAGTACATTGTAGTGTCTACACTCAGGGACTTTCATATCTAACTCAGATGAGCCAGACAGAGAGGCACCAACGTCAACTCCTCTAAATAACACCAGTGATAAGAAGTAAGAACACAGTGTGGTTTAGTAATTAATATTTAGACTTAACTATCCAATAGGATGTGAACACCTTCATGTAATATAGAGAGTGACAGCAATTCTAGCCTTTCATTAATGTGCTGTTAGAATGGGTGATGTAAGTAGAAAGAGATATACTGGGATGCTGTAGGAGACATCTTCAGACTTGAGGGGGACGATGTCTCTTGTTACTCTGTTAGCATTTGTATATTGTTTCACCTTCTGGTCTCCTTGATGCATCAATTCTACATTAAATTATTCTGCATAAGACATCAGCTGCTGTCTGAGTTCTTCTTTCACCAGCTTCCAGAAAACTTCAGAAAACAATTACCACTGAGGATGAAACACGTACTCCTGCAAACACAGCAACAGCATTTAGACCTTCATGTTAGAAAGTAACACTGTGTTTCAAATCCATAATTTGACTGAGACTCAAAATATAATTTAATATTTAGAACTACGAAGCATTACATTAATTATGTACTAATGATTTTGTGTGTTCAAAGGTTTTATTAATGGTGATTTAAATACTGTGCACTGATCATTCAACAACAATTAAGCTTTTTCAGTTTTAGCTCTTTATTGTAAAACACCTCACCAAGCACCAGTGAGCTTTATTTTGTCAGGCTCACCTGTCTTTTGTCTGCCAAACTCTATTGAAGCTCAATGCTAAATTAGCACTGAGTAGGTAGACAAAACACAGAGCTAAAGGAGGGGGAATATTGGACATAAAATCACCAGCTGTTTCAAAACACAATTCTGAATGAACACAAATATTGCTCTGTATGATACTGTATATGTGAAAATGTGCAAACTGTGTGAACTGCCTTAGCCACCGAAGCCAAAACCTCTTAACCATCCATACCACAGTATCAGACATCTTCTGCCAGGCTGTACAAACACATCTCCCCACAGGCCGAGAGTGTATTCAACAGCTTTGGAGCCAGACCGTCCAAATAGTTGGGACCAGGTTTAATGTTTAGCATCTCAGTATTTATAGCATTTTAATTTCTCTTTAGAAATTAAGTCTCAAAGACGTGGGAATTCAGACCTGTTGGTGGCGCTGGATCAAAAGTAGAGTCACAAAATCACCAGGATCCTCTAATGGCTGATTATTCAAACATGTACAGTAAAAAATGATTCTTTTGTCCACACGAAAAAATCATGTCTATTGTAAAAAAAAAAAAATTGTGCTTTCAACAGCTTTCACATTGTCATGATTAGACACTGTGTGTGAACCGCCATTAGTGAGTGAATGCATGATTACAAAAAACATGGAGTTAAAGGGATAGTTAATACAAAAATGAACATTCAGTCATTATCTACTCACCACTATGTCGATGAAGGGGTGGTTGAAGTGTTCGAGTCCACAAAACATGTTGCAGCCAAATCGAAAACAACTGAAGTGAATGTGATTCTTCAAACGTAAAAAAACAACAGAAAAAAGAACATAGCATGCCTCCATACTGCTCCTATGATGTCATCTAAGTGTCCGTAAGCCAACATTCATCTTCGACTCGAAACGGCTTCATTCATACAATGTTTTCATCTAAATGTCCGCTGTGATTCACACGTGAACACAGCTCCAGTGGAGGATAGTTTCTTTACGTTTGAAGAATCGGTCCCCAGTTACTTTGACTGTATTAGATTCGATTGCAACAGTGTTTACCCCTAAAACTGAAAATACTGTTTTGTGGTCTCAAACACTTCACCACCCCCCCCTCAATCGAAATAGTGAGTAGATGATGAGTGCATTTTCATTTTTGGGAGAACTATTCCTTTAAGGCAGAGAAATATGAGAAGAATAGATTTTTCTTTATACATTTTATACAGTATCAAGAGAAGAAAATGCAGAATGAAACAGAATAACAAATTCATAATATATATATAGAAATGCAGGGCTGAAATGAGAAAATCCACCATATATTTCATAAAAACCTTCCTTTGAAGAAGTCATTCACTTGTTTGAGAAGGATTCAGCAGAAATGTGGAAATATCACAAATCCATAAAAGTCCCATGACACAAAAAGTATGTGTAAATGAGTGTTCAACATGAGGTCCAACCTAGGCACATTCATATAAGGTCTTGATAATCCAGAGATCTACAGAAAAAAAGAAGAAACAATTTCATAAGTAACATGAGGCCAGATGACAGTTAGTAGTTTGCAAAGGTTTCCATTAAAGGTTCAGTGTGTAGAATTTAGTGACATCTAGAGGTGAAGCTTCATGTTGCAGCTTAATACAGTAGTAACAGTAAAAAACATGACGGCCTCCAGAGAGGACCCCCCTCCATGTTAATTTAAAGTTTTTAAATATAAAGAGCTCATTCTATGGTTAAGAAAACAACTACTCATACAGTTTAGATGAAACACACCAGTGAAAACATCACTAGGATTATTTCACATTAAATTTCTGACAAAAAATCCTTTCACCTCAATCCTACACACTGAACCTTTAAAGTCATCACACACTTTAATACAAAAACATTGTCAGGGAATTTGCAACCTTTAATATTGTGCTTGATGAATATTATACCTGACCACGTCTCACAGAGGTGAGTGAAGGCCTCTGCAGCAATACTAGATCAGGAGGTTTCGTGTTTTGTTTCGGGAGTTACCATCCCTGGTGTTGTGATACGATGAACCTTGAGACAGTCTCAATTCTGCAATCCTGACATGACTTCTAGTGACCTTGATTTATATCTGTTCCCTGCCATTTGGTTTAATGCTTAGGCATTTCCATTGCACTTGATTGGTTAACCTGTTTGCATGCATGATGGACCAGGAATCTTCTCTGTATACAGATGCATGCTGTAATAAACAAAAATATTCAAATAAGGCCAACTAAGGCTCATCAAGTGAATTATTTTATTCACCACACTGATTCCAGACACACACATTTAACATTGACATGTACTTACTCATTGTGAGTAGTTCGGGAGTTGGCTGGCTGTGGGACTTGTCGCTTCACCTTCTGGTTAAATGCTTCAAGCTACAAAAACAGGAAAAGAAAAACCTGAAGAGAGTCGTTTCATTTTCTAGTCATGCAAGTTCAATTTCATGTGTGCAATACTTTTACACTGTCTACATTCTTCTACATTTACTTTGTACATATTACATGATTGATGACAGGGTTAATCCTCAGGGCACCATGAATGTCTGCACAAAAGATTTTTTCAGACTGGAGCTGGTGGGCCAATAGGCTGACATCATCACCCAGAGCCATGCAGCTAGCTAGTCTCATTTATGTTATGGCACTGCATCAAAATATCATTTTCATATTTCCTTCCATCTTCTGGATCTGTTTCAGTAATGAATAATAGCTGCTTATTTTCTATATCTGGGACACCTCAAATCCCACCGTCACATATTCGTGTATGATTGATTTAGTTATTTGAAAGATGTAACAGATCAAGTAGTTGCAATATTTGATCATAAAATGGAAAAAAAATGAAAAAGAAATTGTTTCCTTGCGTGATTTAACTTTCCACGACTTTAGACTGAAATGAAATTTGTCTGCTAATGAATCACAAAACTACACCTCCTACAGGAGATGGATGAGGAAGTTTTTAAGACCGATCCTCAACTCACCTTCTTCCTTAGGTTCACCTTTATTTCCTCCTCTGGAGACGGTCTTTGGTCCTCCTGTCGTGGTGGTCTTTTGTCTTCTGGCGGAGGTCTTTTGTCGTCCTTTGGCTGCTCGGTTTTTAAATCACCTTCTTCTAAGTGTTTTCTTTTGCGCATTGCTGGTTTTTTATTAAAAAGAATTGCCATTCTTTTGTGATAAGCTTTTGAATGGTTTTTTTTAACAATTGGTGCTTCTGGAACTGGTCGAATCCATGTTTGACGGTTCCCTTTGTAATCTGTATTCATCTTTCGCTCTGACACAAGCTGCTTTATGAAGTGCTGAGGGGTTGACTTGGTTCTGATGACCTGCAGGCAGCGTTGGCCAGCTGATCCAGCCTGGCCTTCACTTGTAGACAAGTCCGGATTCACAAGCAAGTTAACAGATGATTTCCTCTTTGACCGTTTACGACGAGGGTAAACAATGTTTGGGGCTACTACCGAGCCAGGAAAGTCATGGTCTGTGACCGGTGGGTGGGGATACCCTCTGACATCAAGGGGAGGAGGAGCTACACCCTGCGTGTATGTGGAGTAAGAATTAGTGGTAGTACCGTCATAGTCAGTGTACCCGGAGCACTGGGACAAACTGTAATCTGAAAATTCAGACAGAGCAGCAGGATGGGCATTGCAATAAGCTTGTTCTTGTAAATACTGATAAAGATAAGAGGAGGTTTCTCCTCTGTCGTCGTCTATGTCCCTGGCCCTCTGAGCTTCCTCGCTGTCCTGGTTGCCATCTCCTGAGTTACTGCATTCAGACTCTTGCTTTTGTTTCGTGTACCAGGTGTGAGAGGGACATTGGCGAGAGATGCTTGGGATATAGTTCCTCGAGGTCGACCTTGAAGACGATGACGATGAAGACGATGAGCTCCTGCACTGTCTGTCGAAGCCTCTCTGTCGACTCTCCTGCTCCACTCGGCTGCCTGCATCAACTCTGCCTTCAGGCTTCTTTCCATATAGTCTCTCCTGAGTCCGGTCTGCCAGTTTGCTCATCTCCTCCACTTCCAGGCTCAACCCAAGAGTTTTAAGAATGTTCTGCAGCTGCTCATGCTGCTCATCCACCTTTGGGGGTTCTTCCTCTTTCTTCTTCTTCTTTTTTACTGCAGGGGGAGAATGTGATTCTCTGCTGGAGCATAAAGAGTCATCTCCTTTTTCATTCATGTTTTTCTCTTCATCACCACACAGAGAGGGACGGTCATTGAGGGATTTCTCTCTACTGGACAAGCTAGTCTCCCTTCCTCCACCGTCAGTCCCACTGCATCTCGGCAGGGAGGCACTGCTGTGTGATCCCTGTCTCTCACCCATTTCTGACTTGTCCTCCACAGCAGAGGGCTCAATGTTGAGGAGCTCCTCACCCAAATCAAGATTCTCCCCATCTTCATTGACAATCCTGCTGAGCAAGTTGATGTCCACTCCTTTGTTGAGAATACTAAGAAAGCGCTGGAAACCCATGTTGCTGGTCTCCTCCCTGGCTGGTGAAGTAACTCTTTGGCTGGGAGGAGGCGGTGTTACATCAAGGGCCTGGGAAAAGTCAGAGATACATGTTTTTTTGTGTGGAGAACAACAAAGTTCTTTTCTTGATGTTGTTTCCTGAACTTATCTGACCAACACTGAATTTCCTGATTAAGGCTGTGCTTTGTGAAAACAGGACACCCAGGTGTTTCGTAAGCTGTGTGTCAAAGTGTTTTTGGGCTCTACACCATAAATGGAAAGTGATCAGTTACCTAACCGTTTGTCAAAAGCAGCTGCCTTGCTCCTCAATGACAGCAAATCTGAGGATTCACCTGCTCTGTGCCCAAGTGAGGCAGCAGAGAGACGAGAAACAAGAAGTACTGCACAATTTATTCAACAGCAATGTCAGCTTGTGAATGCAAAAGGCTGCATTCATTAACAATGAGAGTGTATGAACATAACAGCCTATTGTCTGTTTGTGGGAACTCTGCAATTATCTACGCCTGTTAAAGAGAATGGTGTAAAAGTAACAACTGTCAACTGTTCAGCCATGTCTGAATGTGACTTTTACCTTTCTGAGTTATTAAGGTAGTATTAGTGTTTCCTCAGTACAACCAACCCCAAAACGTTATGGAAACTTATGGACATTTTCAAGAAAGCTGTAATTAGGAGAGTTGAAAGTGTAATAACACTTTTATTATAAGTTAACATATGAACTCATGGTCATGCCAATTTTGATCTATGGCAATAAAATAGATGAATTCTTTTTAGAATGTACACCAATACAACAACATAGCTTGTGTTGCACTACACAATAAGCCATTGTGTAATAGCAAGGAGGTGATTTCATTACGTTAAAGTGTTGACTTGAATCAAATTACAAACCTCTGTGTTTGATGGCAGCACAGGGGGAACACTACATCTCTGCTTCATTAATGCCTTCACTCTCAGTTTCAGGGGATGATCTTCAAGCAGCAAAGCATCCTTGGATGAGTTCATTCTCCTTTTGGGTGACAGGATCTGAGCATAAACAGATGGAGCAATAAGACAATGTACAATATAAATATGTACATGAAATACATTGATACATATATCAATTTATGCACTTCTGTCCGTCCTGAGAGAGAGCTCCCTCTCTGAGGTCTGTCCTGTTAAAAGGGTTTTTGGTCGTTCACTCTTTAAGAGCTGAGGATGTCACTCATTGTTAAGCCCTATGAGGCAAATTGTGATTTGTGGATAAGGGTTATACAAATAAAATGAATCAATAGGCAATACAGTAACTTGAAAGCACTATTTTCTCACAGTAAACTAATGGCACAACACTGCTGATAGATTACCTGATCAATCAACTGTTAACACTCACCTTTGGCACAACGCCGAGAGAATGCCGCTGCTGCAAAATTAAATTGACTCTGTCTCGAAGGCTTTCACCGTTACGTGTTTCTGCATCAGAGGAGAAGCCTGGCTCCAACGTTTTCAAAGCGAGGGCAGCTTTCTTGAGTATTATTTTCTGCTGTATCTCTCGTAGCTCGTCACACTTCCTCACGAGCTCTTCGTCATTCATTTCCTCAGCCACGCTGCCTCTGTTGCTGTTGTGTGCATCATCAGCTGTGTATCTCGAGTACCCGCAGCCATCATCAGGTCTTGAGGTGTTCCTCATGCTGTCCCTCACATCACTGTCACTTTGGTCCACATGTTTCTGCAGTCTTCGCAGGTCACCCCCCCACTGATGTGGATCCATGGTTCAGTCAGATCAGTGTGGGAACTTCCTGTAAACATGGGTTGAAGTGTGTTAGCAGGTACCTGTGGGTACTGTACTGAGCAGAATAACCTACATCTGACTCGGTGCAAACAAGATCCCATAGACACACAACCTCCCAGACATTACTTTAGCTTGTATGTCGAGAAAACAGTTTCCAAACCAAAGCTAAATGACATTTATACATGTTTTAATATTATGGATTGACTAACCGTGGCCCTGGACACACTGCAAAAGCACTTAACACTGTTTGTTTAGCTTAGCTTGGCAGCTAACAGACTGTTTACCTGCTCCGATTCCTCAAACGGTGCATTCTTCTTCTCTCACGTCGCGGAGGAAAAAGGCAGTTTTCATGAAAAGCGTCTGTGTGAAAACTGCTCTTTGAGCGTGAGGAGTGAAAGCTGCGATGTGCTGAGTGTCTGCAGGGGATGAGGACCAGAGGACCAAGCTTCAGGTGAAGAAGGGACCTCGCTGTGGTGTTGACAAACACACGTCAGCAGCGCCGCCTGCTGGAGGGAGGATAATCTACACCCAGATACACGAGGCGTTGACATGCTCTGGTACCCATGATGGACACAAACACGTCATTCCTGATGATGAATAGTACAATTATTTATCCAGCTGAGCCTGTTCAGGATCAACACATGTCAAAATCACACTTCTGTCCGCCACTTCCTCAGTTTCCATCTTTTATAGACCTTCTCCTGGTGCACTGTGGGTCATATGGATACTTAAGATTAGGATTCCTCTTTATGGTCCCACACACAGCGTGCAACATGCAAACATGGGGAAATTTGACCTCTGTATTTAACCCGTCCGTGTGAACGGAGCACACACGGAACACAATCCACACAGTGACCACACGGAACAGTGGGCAGCCATGAAGGCACAAACCCCTAAAAATACATATGTGCAGTACTTGCGAGTAACTGCATCTGTCTTTTTCAGTAACACTAAAAAAGTAGCTGAACTGAAGAGGACATTCAAAACTAAGTCTAAAAGTTACTCTCTCCGATAGCTAATAACCTTGTTAAAAATGTGTTTAAAAATGGAAATAACAAACTCATCAGCGAAGACTGAACAAAAACAACTTCTGATGTGTTATTGTCATTTTTGTCACTGTCCAGGCTAAATATCGTTAGTTTTTATCCACATGATGTCAGCTAGCAGACAGTGTCTTGCACACTTTGGTTCCAAGGATTTGAGATGATGCAGTGATGTGAAACCAGGGCCACTGTTCAGTACCAATACAATTACAATTAGGTAGCTATTTATTTTGAATCACTGTGTTTATTATGCAAGTCGGATATTTACAGTTTTCTGAGCTGCGAACACACATTCTGTTTATGGTGCATGTTATAAGGGCGAAGGGTGTATCCTACAATAACACATTTGCAAACAAACATAATTTCAACCAAAATTATAGTGTATTTCATTATTAAACACATTTCAAACAATAGAATGAAGCAGCTGACACTGTCGTAAATAACATTTAAAAAACTGATTTTGAATACCTTCAGTGTTTTTACTTTAGCTTGATGTTGTGCTGTGGTTAAAGGACAGACTGAGTAATGGAGTTAGCTCCTGAGGGTTTTGTCAATTAACTTCTCAGCAACTACTGTTGATTTCATCAGCTTCTCTCGTCTTCATCATTCCCGGCTTTACTCTTTACTCTCCAATTCATGTTCAAGTGTGTGATTTGGGGTTAAAACAGGACAAGCTGAAGGCCCAAACTGTTGACTCTGTGAATATCATCTACTGTTTTCCAGAGGCTTAGGATAATTGTGTGACTTAGTCAGTGTTTACATACATTCACACTGTACATCTTTCTTCATCCGGGTTGTTTGGTCTCAATGACCTGCAAACATCTGGGCCTTGCCTGTGTTTTTGATTTTTGTGCTGTGTTCAGTGGCTGAAGTGGGTTTATACTTGCCTGGTTAAAAAGGGCTGATGGAGGATTACTAATGTGTTGTGGGAGTAGACGACTGGTTTGGTTGAGCACTGATGGAAAGATGTTCAGAGGCCGGATGATGGGATAAGGGAGGTAGGGAGGTAAAAAAAGCCTGGGGCTAACATGGGGAAAATTCGGGGCCAGGTTGGGAGGCAGAGATGGATGTAGAGCTGGGTAGGGCAGCTGTGAATAGTTCACTGGAGAGTATGGCGGCATCGCAGGTGTAAGAGGTGGTTTTAATAAATTGTATGCGGTGCTCGGAGAAAATGTTTGTAAAGCAGCAGGGCTTTCCTGGGAGATAGTCTCACATTGCTCACTGTCTTGTAAAGAACTACTGCTATCATTCTGGTCATACTCAACAGCTTGATGTACCTGTATTTGATGTACCTCTATTACATCCCTCCGAGCACTACCACTACATGAGTCTTTTTTCATGTAACTGTCTCGAGTCAGAGAGCTGAAATTAGATCTGTTTGATGATGACGATCTACTGCGATGTCTCGGAGAAATCGCCCTCCTTGTGTCCCTTTCCGTACTTCCTCCACGATGGCGTCCCCTGTCTCTGTCCTTCTTTCCGTATAACCGCTCCTGGATTCGATGTGACATTTGACCCAATTCCTCAGATCCCAAATCCATGCCGATGGCCTGCAGAACATCTTGCATCTGCCTGTGCTTGTGCTCATCCTCAGGGGTCAGGGTGTTATTTCCCACCACTGAAGGAGACCTGGATCTACTGTTCAAGCTGTAGTAGCTTTGTCCTGCGTCTCTCCTGAGCAGGGATTTTTCATCAGGTGGAGAGCATCTCTTCGGGCTGAAGGACCTGTGATGACGCTGAGGAGACACCACTCTCTGGGATCCTTCGCTCTCAGTCCAGCAGTGGTTATTTTGGTGGCTTCCTTGTTGCCTCCTAGCAGAACTGGGTGACCACTGATGTTCTGTAGTGTTGAATGAAGCTGGAGAACGTGGTTCATCTTTGACTTCTGGAGGGGTCTGAGTCACAACCTTGGTGAGCATGGCAACGTTCACACCCTTGTTGAGCAAATCAAGGAAACGCTGGAAACCCCTTGTAGAATTCTGCTCAGGAACAGAAGGACTCTGGTTGGTGATGTCACTCTCTGATAACTGAGGAGAAACACACAGAAGAAACCGTAGTTTAGAGAGTTGATAACTGCAGTCCAGTTGCAGCCTACACATCGGGAGCACGGGGACATTTCACGCTGGCCAGATGGTCTTTTTGGCCTTGAACTGATAACTCGATCAGCTATAGAGTAGCAAGCAGCAATGAGTTGACGGACCTTTTAAATCCAGTTATGGTTAGAAGAAAAGAAAGGTGGAGCAGAGAGAGAGAAGAGAGAAGCTCTTGCCTCAGATGAAGCTGAATACTGCAAAAATAAGCGACATGTTTGCCAGGGAGGGACCAGATCAGTGACACCCACACTGGACAGCAGAGCAGGACTGTGGTCAACCAGCCTCCACTTCAAAACACATGGTCAAACTAGTTTCCACTCATTTCACAGTGCACATTGTAAAATAAAATAAAACCAAACTACCTGTTTCCACAGACTAATTTCATTTCACAATGACAGTTTACCACCTAGAGGTTTGGTGTTTTGTGTGAAAAGGGCAGCCTGGAAACCAACCTACGAATACATTTGCAAAACTCCAAAAAACTAGTCTCCTGACTAGCAAACTTGATGCACTTTCATTCCTAACAATTAAGGCTACTAAGGCCCCTCAGTTCAGCCATGCACCTCTTTTACATTCAATTGTTGTCAGTCTAAAATCTTTAAAAGCACCATGGCTATTTCTACATAAAGATCATCATGTTAGCAATCTTACTGGTTTTGTGCTTCTAAACTCTCTGCTGAGTTACAAAGTCCAGGGGCAGAGTGAAGCAAAGACAGTGCGTCACTCCGACGCAAAACTGCAACTAAAGAGCCTGAAACACCTCATTGATGCCATTGTTACTGTAGCAGCAGCTGATCAGGAACATTTTGGGAAAAGGATGTGACATTTCCGACACGCGCTCTGACGGCAGACAGATCACAATAAAGACGGCCAGCTCATAGCAGACTAAGCTTTTTGAGAGGTGGGTCAAGAACCTTTCAGACAGAGGAGGAAAAAGGGCACTGCAGTAATATGCAATATGAAACTAAAGCTATTGTGCTGACATGCACTGAAATCCAGAGAACCTCCAGACATTCTGTAGATGAGCTGTATGTGAGAGGACAAAAGTCCAGATGTGTTTACATAAAGTCAGGCTTCTGCATGCTGCACCCCCCTGACCTGAATGCTCCAGAGATTTCAGCGTTGTTGTGAACGCAGTTGAACAAATGTGAAAATCAAACTCAGGAACTCCAGAGAACGTCCACACAATTGGGATCCGACATTTTCCAGAGTTCATGTCTGAACAGTTTAAGAAACATAGTTGTAGAAGGAGAAAAAACCCACCTGCCCACAAGGTTCATTTAATGGAGACCTTTTTCTATTTTGATGATGATACTCGTGTCCCTTGGAACGGCAGTCATTCTTCTCTCTGGGTTTGCCACAACTCTGTTCAATGTAGAGGAGAGTTTCATTAAAAAAACAGCATAGACACGTTAGATAACACAACAAAAGGAAAGACATACTGTGTCCTCACAATGCCAACGCTCTGGCTCAAACAGTGTTTACTGTGTTCTACCTTTGTAGAGCGTTCTTGTGATCGGGTCCTCTCTTCGGAATGGTCCCATCTCCCTTCGTGATGATCTTTGTCTTTGTAATACATAGATGATTTGTAATCACTGTGTTGTTGTCTATAGGGATACTCCTCGTGTCTGTGCCTGGAGTCCTGAGAGCTTTTCCTGTATTTGAGATCCTCTTCATATGGAAGTGCATGTTTGAAATCCTTGGGTACACGTTTATGTGAGAAGCTGTCTGGTGACTGTCTGTGCTTTCTATCCTCTGGTTCACGCCTGAATCTGTAATCGTCTTCTTGATCCTTCGCATACCTTCGCCGTGTCTTGTCAGCAGCACCCCTATCAGGTGAAGACATGCGTCCTCTCACTGGGCTCTTTCTGCTCCCGTCTCTGCTCACTGCGTCTTTACCGTACCGCCTCTTAGGTGAGTCACTGTACCCTCTAGTTTTGTTTGTCTTCTCGGTGCTGCTGTGTTTATCCCCACCATGTTTGTGATAGGAATCTCTGTGAGGTTCACGCCTCTCTTCCCATCTGTCATCATAGTCGTCCCACTGCCTTCTGTCCCTGTACTGCCGCCTGTTACTGTGCTCCGCCTTGTTCGAGTACATCATCTCACAGCAACTTCAGCCGCTGAAAGAAAGTCAAAGACTGCAGCAAGGAAGAGAGGCAGCGTGAGATTAAACCATAGGTTGAACCACATGAACATGGATGGTATTTGGGGAGGGTCAGGGATGCAGGTTTTCACTGCACACTGCAGCCTTTAACCACTGAGGAATAAAACCAACCAGCCATAATTATTTCAATCCGGCTTTGATGAAAACATGAGTTATGTCCCACTGTCCCTTGATCTAACTATTGTTTACATGAGGAGGCTGCTAGATCTGCTAGATAAGTAGCTAGCTAGTTAGCTTAGGTGCGATAAATATCCACCTCACCACTTTCTTATCGTCGACAATATTCTTCAGATCATTTCCAGGTAATAGCCACACATGTGCGCTAAGTTAACCTCGGGGGAGCTGATAAACGAGCTGCAGGGCAAGCTAAACTGCAGGGATGGTTTTTGGTTTCACTAGCTAGTTAGCACAAATTACCTTTTCCACCGGGCGACGTCACTTTCTTTAAGAGGGAAACCAGGAGGAAATATCGAAACTGTGCGTGAGAGCTGATACACATCACAACACAACAAAGTGTTCGCAGTCAGCTCATACACACAGTCGAGGGCTCACAGGCAGGCGGATACATCACCGCCATCCCCAGCGGATTGAGTCCATGCCTTCCAGCGCTGCCCATCAGAAACGAGCTGTTTCATATACTGCCACCTCCTGGATGGAGGCTGCACAACGTGACCTAAAGCTACAGGGAAAATCCATTTTGTTTGTATATTGTTATATGATTATGTTATATTGATTTGTATTTGTTAACTACCTCCTTGAAATGAAATGAAATGGAGGTTGTCACGCATATCAGCTATATAATAATAAAGTGGCGGGGTCCTTTCTTCTATTTTGTATTATAGTAACATCTTTATTTATTTAGAAACCATTTTAGAAACCAAGCCTTTTTCTCCCAAGCAAGAATTCAAGATAAAGGGAAAAAAGTGGGATTTGAAGAAGTTGAACTGTTAGTGGCAAAAATCCAATGTCACAATATATCAATAAAGTATGAATAATGTGACAGTATTTCAAAATTTCCTTTAGTGCTTTGTATCCCTGAATCCTGTGGAAGTGGCTGCAAACAAAGGTGAACTTAAACATTGTGAACTGGTTCTTGGAATGAAACGCAACCCAGATTCAGACATATTCAGCTGTCTAAATTTTAAAATGCCGTTGTCATGTAAAATTATGTGTTTCCAGTTGTTTTGAAGTCTCTGTCCACTGTGACAAACCTTTCTTGAACTGTAGGTGGACAGTTTGTGACTGTAGCATAGACTGTATGGTCTGCACACATCTTCAGTTATACATAAAGTTGGTTTTAAACAAAATGCAGAGTGTACCTGTAGTTTTTTTCTTTGCACCAAGGTTCTCCTTCCCTAACTCCTCAAGGCCTCTCCTTCACATCTTTCCTTGACCTTATGTTGTTTTCCATTGGGGTCAAGAAATATGAAAGAGGATTATTTTGACTATTCTGATTTACCAGTTCCAAGATGAATCTCTTTTCTCCGCCTCTTATGAGGTAACAAACTATCAAACTGTCAACGTCTGGTAACCACAGGTAAGAGTAGAGACGACACAAAGTTTTCTTCTTAACCACACAATCATCATCTGTCACTAAACTACACAACCAGTCTGACCAGTCACAACTCACAGTCAGTTACACTCTGTGGTCCAGAAGTATGAAACAGTACGTCAGTGACCCATAAGCCCTACGTTAACCAGCAACCATATCAAGCATGACATCATATAAAAGGAAACAGCTCTGCAGTGTTCCCTACTAAACTGATATCTAACGAGCGATCGGACAAAGTCGAAGGCAGCTACAAGTTGTCTTCTTTAGTTCTCATGCCCGATGAGGCAAATTGTGATTTATAAATATGGGCTACACAAACAAAATTTGATTGATTGATTGGATTGTTCTTCACTGGCACACAGCCTCTTACACACTGGGCTGCTTTACATTAATCGGGAAGTCTGGACAGAACATAGTGAGAAAAAGATGAATTTACAAGTTTAACCAAGCTTAATGTGGATGCACAGTTAAAATGACCAGTAGCTACAGCTGCATTTCACCAGTGTGGTCAGAGAGCTCACAAAACACTCAGATGAGACTATGCACATTCTTTTATTAGATCTTTCTAGACAGGAAGCCATCAAACAAATGACAGCCCCATCATCTGCAGCGACAAACAGAATGTTAAACAAACTCCATACTTACAGTATGTGTACAATGTCACACAGCTCTACATATGCGCCTGTGAAATCTACATCATTATACTCACTAATGAGGTGCAGTCATTGCTCTCTGGGTGATACAGCTGATAAATATGCTCCAATGAAATGTGCGGCTGAGACATTTAGTTTGTGTTAATGATGGAATGGTGTCAGGCATGTGTGACGTGAGAGTGAGGTGGAGGCCAATCAAAGACAAGGAACACAAGGGTTTTTGACAGTCCCAGGGCCTTCTCCTGCCACTCAGCAAGTGTGAGAGATCTCCACCTGAGGGCACTGTAAGAGAGGACAGGTTGACACAGCACACGTTAGACGCTTACTTCTCTTTACTGGAGACGCTCACTCTTACTTCCACACAGTCTATCAGCATGAGAAGATCGAGAAGTTTAACAAAGACATTTGCAAATTACTCACAAGTGATCTAAAAGACTGCCTATGTTGTCTTTGTTATATGCGCTTAAATCTTAAAACTGAAATACACTAATAGACAGTTAGAAAGAATTGTTTTTTGGAACATCTGTTCCAAGAAACTGTTTGTGTGTATGCATGCCTGTGTGTGTGTCACCGTGAGAGTGGGAGAGAGAGCGAGTGAGCAGAGTCAGGGTGAGTAATGAATGAATGTGCACATGAAGAAAGATTTTAATCGTTGAAGAAAAGTATCGATCATTATGTGGTGATCAGTGTTGATATTGTGGCGTCATTTCAAACCCATCATTGTTTGAACTGTGGCGGGTCAGAGACGTCAGCTGAGTTGGTGTGTGTGTCTCAGCGAGTCCACACAAGAGAGAGAGAGAGAGAGAGCGTGAGCTGGCACTGTGATATCGCCCTTATCTTAAAAACAGCTGTTACCTTTCCCTCAGGGACTATCATACAAGCTAGGCATTTCGGTTATAGTAATCAACTGCTTATAGTGATCAATTTGGCCCAGACAAACGTGATCACTGTAAGCGTTTCCACTGTGCAAGTCTGGAAGCCTCCTACCTCCTCACTGGTAGAACTTAATCTCTGTGTCCACGCAATCAAAAAATAAGTCCCCCAGTTCTTCTGCTGGTATCTCTCCACTGAGCATGGCTGAAATCTCACTGAGACACTGTGACTCCAGGTCCCTCAGAATCTCATACACAGCTGAGCCCTCATCCTGTGCAGAGAGAAAAACACAGACACAGAGATGTCAAACTGTGTAACACTTGGATTTGTTCAAACCAATTTATGGTAATGCCCTTGTATGGTATATTATTACAATGTAATATCAATGTACATGTAAAAGAACCCAACGTAAGTCTAATTCAACATGATGACTGTAGTGAGGGACGTAGATGTAATGACACACACACCTCCATTTCCTCTACAAGCTAATCTGGGTTAATACACAGTCTGGCTGCTCTAAGCAGCAGCCACTTGTTTTGTTACAATTTGATTATATACAGTATACTAAATAAACTACATACTAATCCACCGACCGTAGTATTTTCATTGCTAGTGGACTTTGCACCAACAACCAAACTGCAAACCTAAAAATCGCTGCCAATCAAGCTTCACAAAAGAAAGCAGAGTAAATGTGATACAGAAAATCCAAGCTAGCTTTCGAGAACGTAACTATGAAGTTGATTGTTTTGCTAAACCAAATGTCTAAGGCATAGGTCCAATGTCAAAATGTAATGTACTTACATACAACTCATAGTTTAACTATAAGTACTTACAAATGCTTGTGCAATAATTGTGCTTTCCTTTGCTACTCAGTTTTTCTTTATTGACATTTGTGTCTGTATATTCATGATTTCCACAGCATTTAGGGTTTTCTTTGGTTGTAGTCTGATTTCTACATTTAAATTTATTCTTAGTCAAAACTCATGTGTGGTTTTGCCTACTTTGTCCAGCCTTGAGCTGACTTCTGACAAAACACACAACTCAGTCTAAATCAGGACTGTCAGCTGAACCGCTTTGTTGTGAGCACTTACCTGCCAGTGTTCTCCTGTTGGTGTTTGGTTGCAGTGTAGTCGTGATTTAAACCCTGCTCTTTGGTTTTGAACGTGTACTTGTAGTGTGTTTATGTTTAGTCTACACTCATGAGGCTGTGTGTCTTGTCTGCTCTAACTGTGAGGTCCTGTCCACTGCTGGGAGTGGCCGCCCTGTGCTTTGCCACTTTCCTGTAATCTATCAGCAAAAACTGAACTAGTTCCACTCCTCAGTAAGAGAAAGATTCTGCTTTGAGTTTATATGAAATGAATGTGGATGTCAAGCTTCCCGAGGGTCTTCACTGGACAATCATTGACCTAATTGTTAATCAGTACCCACCGGATTGGTCTCCATGTTGTTGAGCGCCACCTGGTGAGCCTTGTACAGATCATGTCTGCGGTCTACCTGGCTCTGAAAGCGAGGCTGCTTCCTGGCAGGGTCGTCTGGGCCGAACTGTGGGGAGACCACCCTCGGCACTGGAGCAGAACAGTCCGAGAAGATAAAAGGCTTGAATATAGACCTAGTAGGGTGCAGGCGGGGTCGGTTAACAGGGAAAGGAACAGGAAAGAGAGAAACGCAAGACTAAGAAAATCCAACCCAACAGTCGAGACAGAATGTGAGAAAAACAGAGATGGAGTGAAAAAGAATATTAGGTTTTAAAGATTTTCATAACACATGCATACATGATGATTTGTGAACAATATTTGTAATGTGTCGTAAATAAATGTTGCTTAGTATTCTGTTAACATGTGTTCTCTATCTTTGCAAAAGCCATTTAATCTTTATAAAAACCATTAATCAAAGCTTTGTCTTGACCTTTCATTGTCTATTTGATTAACTATTTCTGCTCAAGCTAATAACTTTGTTTCTGATGCCACAAAGGTACAACACATCAATAACATTGCAGTTTTCCCTCAGACAAAGCCTCAGAAATGCAGCCTCTATGAAATGTGTTGCATGTTTACAATGTGCAACTGAATTCAGAATGAGTCCAAAACTTGTGAAATGTTTGCTTTCTTTGTGTCTGGGAATATATATATCTATATATATCTATATATATATAGATATATATATATATATCTTATCGAGTAGGAACAACTGCTTCTTCATAGAATAATCAAATCTGCCAATTTTTGGTCTCTGGCTTCAGTTACACATCAATGTTGACATGATTGTTGGTGGTTGGTTTGAGTATTTCTGAAACCGGTTATCTCCAGAGAATTTCACACACAACAAAACACACAAAAACATCCAGCGAGCGGCACTTCAATAGACAGGAAACACACTGTTGATGGGACTGGTCAGACTGGTTGGAGCTGATATAAAGGCTACAATAAATCAGACAACCACTCTGTACAACTATGGAGAATAGAATAGCATAAAAATGACCCACACACCCCCACCATGATCTAAAAATGACCAGAACTGGAAAATGGATTTTAGTGTCAAAATCATTTTTTTGTGAACCTTAATACCAATAAATGATCATGTCAGCATGACACAAAGTGCCTCTAACTTGTTTAATAAACATGAAAACTAGCTCAGTGACTTTAGTGTCCCCTCTAGTCACCAGGTCTGATTCTCACTGAATAGCTTTGGGAGGTGGTGGAACAGGAAATTGACAGTTTGAATGTGCAGCAGACTAATCTGCAGAAAAACTGTCATGCAGTCACGTCAACAATGACCAGAATGTCACAGGAGGAATGTTTCTAACATCTTGTGAAATCCATGCAATAAAGAACTGAGTCTTATTTGAGAGTAAAATTAGGCCTTGTCCAGTAATAGTGTTTTTCAAATAAAGTACATTGTAAATATGAATAGATATATAAATATAGATTCACCTGATGTTTACGGTCTAGAGGAATTCTTAGTTTATTCAGGGACAAACCTGGAGGGGTCGGGGGTGGCAGTGAAGAAGTGGATGCAGGGTAGGCTGGAGTCTCTGGGCAGAACAGACACCATGCTGCCTGTGGTGCAGAAACCTCCAGAGTCCATGCAGATGCCACTGGGCTTGTCCCTCAGAATGGATATCATCACCTCTGCTGTCACTGAGCCTGATACCAGAAATGACAATTAATTTACAATTATTTCTGATTATGAAAGTTGAAGTGTCAGTCATGCTAATAATGTGCCATACTGGCCATTCACAGTCACCATTACACAGTATTTAAGATTCATACAAGTTCACTGTGACCTTTGATCACTGAAATGCAACCACATTGTCTTTCAGTCCAAGTGACAATTTTTTAAAAGTTGGAGAAATACCCTATGGTAGTCTTGAGATATCACATTCAAGAGGGCAAAACATGTTTTTCCAGACCTTAACATTTGACCACTGAAATCGAATAAGTTAATCAGTGAGTCCAAGTGAACATACAGTATGTGCCAAACCTCAACATTCACAAGGCAGAACATGTGTTTGAGAGGTCACAGTGACCTTTGACCTTGGATCACCTTGGACCTTTGACCACAAAATTCTAATCAGGTCCATGAGTCAAAGTGAATGGTGGCTGATTTAATGAAAGTCCGTAAGGGCATTTGAAGACATTCCCTCAATCTTATCTTAAGATATTATTTTCAAGAAAAACATACTTCATGAGGTCACTGTGACCAGACCAACCCAAAAATATCGCCCAGGATGCCTTTGGACATCCTGGGATTGCTGTAGTAGTGGACCACTCTCACCATCATGCTGCTGGAGCAGCTCTGTGCCTCCCTTATAACGCTGTTTGGCCAGTTCCATCCGAGCAGGTGGGTTCTCAGGGTTGAACACCTGAGAGAAGTTGAACTCCCTCTCGCCGTCCCACCAGCCCTGAGCTTGCGCCATGCTCCGCAGCTCTGGATGCTCTGCAGAGATCTCATCGCCAATGGTCAGCTGGTTAGAGATGTTCTTCACACCCTCTGAAAGGAGCAAGAGGCTGTTAGTACATGATGACGCCTTGTCACAACCCAAATTTGGTTTTGTATAGCAGGTAAGTCTCAAGTCAACATTTATTTTAAAACAATTTCTCATACACAGCCTCAAGGGGCTTCACAGTAAAGTATACATCACTCTGTGTCCTTAGACTTCCACAAAAATTCTATAATGGAAAAAAAAATACTCAGGAAGACCTAAAAGGGTGCCACTACAAATCCCAGTTCAGCTTGAGTCTTTAATTTTGGAGTGTGCATGTTATACCCTTGATTGGGTCAGATTCATTTAAGATTCTATATTGTTTGAGACAATGCTGTTTGTCTCTGTGTGTTGATCCTGAGAAACATTGGCGACCTGTGCAGGATGTACCTCGCCACTCGCCCAATGTCAGCAGGGATTTGCTCCAGCTTCCCCCGCGGCCCTCACAGGATAAGCGGCATAGATAATAGATGTAAGGATTGATGTAAGGATGGAAAGTACAGCCTCAGAGAGCTGTTGGCATGTCACGTAGAGCCTACAAGACTCTGAAAGTGGGAACTGTAGTTTTTAGCAAATGTGACTCAAACATTTGATAATAGCAAAAATTTACTGAGAGCTATTTTCAACCGCTGACAGTGATTCTTGTCTTTTGACTATAATAAATCACTCCATTCAAAGTTAAATCTAAAGATCTTTGTTACCATTGAGCTGTCAGTCAGTGTTTCAGCTCTTGTTTGTATAATCTACTGTCATCCTTTGTCCTTGCTTCTTTGTAGTACTTGGTCGGGCAGGATTTCATAAAGTTTTGAAAAAAGGGTGTCATGTGCTGTAAAGGTTCAAAAAGCCTGAGCCTTATAACTAAAGTATGACCATCAAACAACACACAGCCCTGCTAGATACTGTATTTAGATTAAACCTCATTATTTACCATTGACCTCAACCTCTTAGATGTTTTACCTGCAGAAATTTCTTAAGACACATGTTCACACACGTACACACACACACAATCAGTTAACAAGTAACAACTGATCTCTAATCTGCACAAACAAAATCATTTTGTTGATGACGCACATGAACGAACAAAAAACAGAGCACTAAAATGTGTTCAGTGTGAGGAAGCCACAAATCTGAGCTTTTTACAAGCCATGTAAATTAAACTGTAAAGATATTTTGGTTCTGCTCTCAGTAGAATACAAATAAATAAACAGTTCAGCACCTATAAAACTAAATTTGTTGCCTAGATAACACAGGTACCCTCCACCATCCTCACCTCTGACCTTCTGTGCCACCCACAGCTTCCCAGCAGTTTCTAAGACCCAGGCCTCGTTGCGGTCGACCAGAAGGAAGGTGTTGTGGTAGCTGAAGGGCTCAGGATCCTCCCTGCACTGTCCCCCCTGGCCATGCTGCTCCAGGAGGCCTGTGATGACGGTCAGCGCAGCCCAGGCACTGTCACCACGCTCCAGCCCCAGTCTGATAATCAAAAGTCATGCCGGGTAACTTCCAGATGTAACACTAGGGTTTCCTCTTAGTAAATCATCAGATATGTTGTTATAAATGTTAAAAACTTACTAACGGCAAAATATCCTATAATTGTAATGCTTTTATGTATTTGTATGTCTTTTTTTTTTTTTAACAAACTATGAAGACCGGTTGAGTTGCTTGTCAATGTTTACACACTGGATGATTCGTTTTTTATACACAGTGATGAAGAGATAAGTTCTACGGTACTCACTTCACCTGTCATAACATGCTTGTGACAAGTCACACACCCATCTGTTCAAAGCTCAAATTCATACTTCCACTGAATGTGCATCATCCAAAGTATATTTTTCTTTACTGCTAAAATTGAAGCTGTTTATGAGCCATGCAGTTTTTTTAATGACTACAGTAGTAGAAGATGTTTGGTGCTCACCGGACCAGGTCCATACCCAGCAGGGCCTCTCCGGGGGTGACGGGCTCTCGGGTCCAGACCGCCTCATTCCCAATACAGACTCCCTGGTCATTGGCTCCCATTTCTGCGCCCCACATCCAAGCAGGTTTACTAAGGACGACAGCATGAGTCTGCTCTACCTGAGGGATCTGGATGTATGTGCACTGCAGGCAGAAAAAATAACATAAGAAACAGAAGGACTGAGAAAAGAATGCTTTTCTTTATACTTAATTCATATTAGAGTTCACAGATGGTTTCAGAGTCATGTGAACGACATGCAGTAGGCAAGGTAGAGCATGGGCGATAATATCAAATGTATTTTAACACAAATATGTCCCCTCGAAGACACTGTATATGATAGTATTCATTAGTTACTTTCAGAAAACAAAGCAGAGGAAGAAAAATAAATTTATTTAAGTACACATATTTAAAGAGTTGCAAATCGGCGACTGTGTACAGTGTTTCAAATATCAATCAATCTATTAAAATATTATTTGTATAGCCCATATTCACAGATCATAATTTGCCTCAAAGGGCTTAGCAAGATGTGACATCCTCTGTCCTTAACCCTCAACTAGAGTGAGGATAAACCAAACCCCTTTTAAGGGAAAAACGGTGCGTAACAGCACTGGGTGATAAACTGCCTAACTTTCCCAGATTATGTGAAGCTCAATCAGTGATTTAAATTACTTTAACAGGATATTTGTACAGGTTTATTTTGAATACTGATGCACTAACACTCTCAGCTGATATATAATTAAATCATTTGAAGTTTGCAGTGTAGGTGTCAGGGGAAATTATGCATGAGGCGCAGAGGCAGCAGTGGTGGTGTTGCGGGACAGTCAGTGGCAGTCCAGGGTCGTTTACCTCCAGCATGGAGCCTGGAGGGTGAGATGTTGCAGGGTAGTGGGCCACCTCCTGCACCTCATCTCGGGGACGGTCCGAGTTCTTCCCAAAAATCACATGGTCATTGAGAGAACCAGGGGGCAAGGAAACAAAACAATCACATGACATGGGAGCCTCTGCCATCCTGCAACAGAGAAACAGCGAGAGATACCGGTCAAGTGGGTGAACACTCAGAAGTCTCACTGGCTCTAAAGACAGGAAGCCACCTACTAATGCCTGGAATGTCTGTCTGTCATGTATATGTCTGTATATGGAATGCATACATTAGGAACCCTTCAATTGATCAGCTTCACACTAGGCATGTATATTGTTAATACCCCAGGGAAAAGCTGTGTCAAATTTAATGCGATTTGGACATGCGATAATTTCATTATTAATATGTGGGGTCGGGGCTGTGAGCCTTCAGTCTGTGGACAGAGCTGAACATGTCTCTTTCTATATCCTCAGATAAACTACAGCAGTGGTACACAACTGGGTGACACTGTGGGTCAAAATCACCACAATATAATTTCAGATATAAGGAATATTTTTATTTCACCATTTCAGACTGACTGGTAAAACAGGTGCTAATCTGTCATAGCATCAACAGTCATAAAATGACTTCCTCTTTAGCAATTGGTCTACGAAGTAGAAGCACTTTAGTTTAGTTGCTGCCATGCTTTATATCGAGCTGAATTACAGAGCTTTTATTTTGAAAAGTTGCGCACTTGGATATGAAGATTATGTCAATTGCTTAACAGACCTGTAGAATAGTCAAAATATACAATGTACGAAAAAAATAACACCTGTTAAGTAAATCATCCGAGCCTATATACAAGCCACACATGTGAACTGTTATAAGACAAATTCAGTTTCATAAAAAATAAATCATAATAAATAAATCTAAATAAATTCTTCACTGCAGATAAACCAGGTAGGATGGACACAACGTTCTCTAAAGTAACTCTGCACCACAGACTGTTCATAAACAGCTCTAGTCAAATGTAATGGGGTGTATAATAAGCACTAATCCTACCAACTAACTAGCTCATATTAGCCTCTGATGTGAAACTAATCTCTGGAGTCTGTGTTCGACATCCAGTGCGTGAGCCTCCACCCTTTCAGACCACAATGTGCATGTGTGGAGTGAAGAGGAAGAGGCTCCTTCCATGCCCCACATTAGCAGAGAGTCAGCTGCAGACGTCCCTTTCACACTGGGATTAGGAGGCTGCGCTTCACCCACTGTAATCTCCACAAATCCCACCGCCACTTTGCTCCATTCTCGCTCTCGTCTCGCGTTTTGCGACCACAAAATCGCTTTCAGCCCGGAAATAATGTCGCCCTCGTCAGTGCGCCCTGTACACAGACGGGTCCCGAGGTGGGGCTCGGTGTGAGGAGAGCGCTCATGCCGGAGACGAGGCCCGGGTGAGCGGTGGGATCCCCGCTGTCACTGCCCGTCTCTGCCCGGAACAGCGACGCCTCGGTCCCCGCGCGTCACGTCGCCCTTCACCGGAGACTGGGTGACGGGGTGAAGTTGCGGGATAATAGTGCGTAATCTACAGCTAAGGGTGCGTGCGTGTGCGTGTGTGTTGCTGTAGAAAATGTTTACCTTCTTATTGTCAGTGGTGGGAGCGGACGGCCGGCGGGGAGCAGGCAGGTTGGAGATAGAGTCACGTGACGGAGAGATCCAGAGGTCTGTACTTAAAGGTCTCGTCTCGTCTGGCCACAAGCACAGCTCACCGTCTCACTGCGTCCACTCCACACCTGTGAGGAAAGCCACAGCACAGCCGAGCCATGATGTAGCTCCTCATCATGAGTCTGTGTTTGTCAGGACGGCCACACCACTCTATGCTGATTATCAAGCTTAGCACTGCACCCGAGTTCAAGGGACTGTGTGCAACACCCGGGAAGTTTTTATAATCCTGTGCAACTTAAAGTCATTATGTCTGCCCTCAGCAGAGGTTCCCTTACTGCATGTAAGAACTAGTATGACACTCAGTGGAGTTCATATCACCAAGGCCCATCGTCCCCCTTAAAGAGATTGCTCACAGAAAAATGAGAATTCACTCATTAGCTATTCACCATTATGCTGATGGAGGGGTGGTGAAGTGTTTGAGTCCACAAAACATTTTTGGAGTTCCAGGGGTAAACAGTGTTGTAGCCAAATGTAATACAATTGAAGTCAATGATGACCACTTCATCAAACATTTTAAAAAAACACAACATGCCTCCATACTGCTTGTGTGGTGTCACCCAAGTATCTGTAAGCCCCGACATTCAGATTCAACTCGAAATGGCGTCATTGACACCATGTTTTTAGCCTAAATGTCCACTGTTATCCTCCTCTGGAGTCCTGTTCCTGCGTGGTTCACAGCGGACCAGTACTTCAATTGTATTGGATTTGGCTGCAATCCTGTTTACCCCTGAAACTCTATAACTCTCTATAAGTGTTTTGTGGACTCAAACACTTCACCCACCCCTCCATCGGCAGAGTAAAAAATAAAGCAATTTTCTTGTTGTGGTGAATTATCCCTTTAAAGTCAATCAAGCTGCACCAAATGGCACACAGTCTAAATATCAGTTCCCTTAATATGCCAACAAGATCCACACATTATTCTCTGGGAAATTCGTACATTTATAAAGAAACACCCTATCTGGCAATGTTCAAGAATGTGATGGACAGAAATCTTGCATCTGCACCAAAACATTTTTTTCTTGGTCCTGTCCCATGTTTCCACCAAGTTTAGTGGAAATCAGTTCAGTAGTTTTTGCATAATCCAGCTGACAAACAAACAAACCAAGCTCCCAACAAATGGACAGAGGCAAAAACATAACCACCTTGGAAGAGGTAATAAAAGTATAATTAAATGCAAACTATTTGTTTTACCATTTTTCATGTCTGTGTTACCTACTTTTTGCTCAGCAGCCTCTGAAGCCTTGGGTGGCCATTCATTAATCATTTATTCTAGTAGGTGCAGAGTCCAAACATTCAAACAGATTTCATGTTCAGAAATGAAAATATAACTATGGTTTAACACTCACTGAATAAAACAGTAGAATGGTGGATATTCCTCTTGATCCCCAGCTCATGCATGTCATCAAGGTTTAGCAGGGAATAACAATTTAGGAGTTGTCTCCTTCAGAGGACACAGTCTTCGTGGTCCACAAAGGCCCAAACCGTGGAGGCCAAACCGAAAGGAGATGGTTTGGTCAACAAAGGATTTTGTAATTGCGTCATCTTCTCCAGCTCTTACCATTGCATCATTAGCTGTTTTGAGCAGCTGTATTAATTGCAGCTCTGCGGCCAAGATAGCTAGCTTGTTAGCTTCATCACCAGCGCTGATATGTTGGCCCAAGAAGTACCCAACCGTTGGCTCTTTCTTATTGCTTGGTGATGGAAGGAGGCATTTGTTGAACAAACTTGCAGGAGCCTTTGAAAATGGGAGTCTCGTCACACCGCTGTGACACAATCGACCTTCAAATACAGCCTCCAATGGTTGAAGCCCAGAATTGAGACATTGCTATTGAATCAGAATGTCTGTGTCTCTGCTGCTCATGGATCTTTCATTTTCAAAAGCAGCAAAGAAAGTAGTCTGAGAGAGACACAGTTTATGGCACACTGGAGACCACACTGCACACCACTGCATTTTACCAGCACTCTGGATCACATGTTGGTTAATCAGTGTAATTAAAGTTGGGTGAATTCTTGTTTGTCAGTGGGTTTATCAAGTGGGTGTCTCCCATTACTGGTCTTTCACTGAATTATGTCGCTGACATTTCCTGTCTGTGGGCTCAGTTCTTCCAGACAGACAGCGACTTCCCAACACCTTCCACCTGCTCTTTGCGTCAATAAAATATTTATCATTATTTTATATATATTTTATATTTTATCATTATCTAAATATTTCAAAATCAACTCTGGTGGTGTAGCCAGGCTGATAGGTTTGGCTTTATTCTGTCTCTCAGTTTTCTGCCTTGAGCAACAGTGGGAATTAATCTTTTTTTTTGTAGCGCTCACAGCATTGAAAATTGCATTTTTAAAAGTTAATATGTATATATAACAGTTTTAATCTGGATGATTTCTTCAGTGGAAAATAGATCTGAAAATAGCTCACAGTCAGGTCTGTGGTTATATTGCTGAAGATTTTTTTATGATTCCATTTCTTAAAAGATTATAGGGGCTCAACCTCCAATCGGAGGAACTCTCACCAACGTTTAGAGGAGGGTAGTAATTGAAAAGGGAAAAATAGGGAGGGAGGGGTCAACTCCCCCAAAATTATTATTATTATTATTATTATTGCCCATATGTGTATTGATTTTACTTTACTGTAGATGTTTTATAATGTACAAAAATAAATGGTTCAAGGCCCCTGAATCCTACTGCTGGTTGTTTGCCCATTTGAGCCAATCAAAGCTTTGAACAGTGGCAAAAAACTGTAACAAAAGTTGACACATCGGTGAAGGTTGTAGTTAAATCAGCTACACAAATAATGGATGAACAATTAAGATGGATTAATCAACAATTATATTAACAATGGATCAAATAAGTACATGTAAAAGACACTGACAAGAAGTGACAGGAAGCACCATGCAGCTGTTTTCCAAGAACCCATCGTACCCGCCCAGCAGCAAAAGTCAAAGTAAGCAACCAGCTGGTGGACTTTTGAACACAACTCCAGATAAATGTCGCCCCATGGACGCTGGATGCAGAAGCAAACCTGACTCCAAAAGAAAATATTTTGTCTTCTTTTGGTCAACACATTTTTTTTTTACACAAGACATTGCATAGAGACAGAGCACACATTTACATAATTACTGGTAGCATGCCTGTGCTATGAACAGATTGTCATGGATATGTTGAACGTAGGTTTTAAAACCTGCCCAGCTGCATTGCAGTGAGTGACAAAACGAAGTAGTTCCCCTCCTCCACTACTGTCGTGTCAACAACTATTGCTCATTATTATGCATGTCAGTAGGCCCCATTCTTAAAACTGACTCATGTTGTATTGGTAAAGTTTTGTTGATGCAATAAATGAAATGTAGGTTGTCTAATAACAGGTCACACACACACATCTGAGCCCACAGGAAACATGGAGCACCGACCTAGCTGCTCCGAAAGTTTGACTAATGGCTGTGTTTTGAGATTGAGCACCTGGACCCTATCAGTGCTCACTTATGTCCAGATTTGTGGAAGGTGCTGAGTTATGTTTTGAAGCGGCCTGGTGGTGAATGCCGTTCCCTCGTGGCTCACAAGGTCTGCTGATGGTAACACAACTAAATTCTTGAGAGATTTCTGGGAAGACAACCTGTTACCTGAACAGCACTTGGCTACTTCCACACCCTCTCCGTCCTTTCATCTCCTGGAGTGTGCTGACAAGCATCGCACATCCTGTCTGCCCTTACACACAAACAGTAAAAACACCTAGAGAGGTAAACACCCACCTGAGCCAAAGGCTGACACACCCAAGAGAGACCTTAGACACATATACAGTACTCACAAGCACAGGGACTAGCTCAGAGTGAAACTGAACGGAGTGAAAAACAAACATGGTAAATATGCATTAGAAACTGTGATGAAAAATGTATTCAATCAGATTGACAGATTCTTCTCCTAAAAGAACTGTTTGATATTCAACATTAGTAACAGGGTAGCTTCAATGACAGCAGCATTAGGCAAAAATAAATAAATATTATCCCAAGTGTATGCACAATATGCCTGGTTTCATTTTTCTTCAAATAAGGTAATGTAATATTTCATCAACTTATCAACACGGTGACTCAGCATCATGAAATAGTTCAAGATTTGTGGACCAGACATCTGCCATTCAGCTCACACACACACACACACACACTAAGCCAAGAGCCTCTCCTAAAGCCACTCAGGCGCTGTGGCCCAGTTTGTAAGCCCTGCCATGTGAAGTGGAGGGCTGGCCGGAGGAAGATGAGGGGTGTTAGGGACGGAAACAGCTGGTGAGAAGCCCAGAGGATATTAATCTGAGGGGGGAGACAGGATGGCAGGAGAGGCTGTCTAATAAAGCATAGTATTACTGCCGCAAAGGTGTGTGTGTGTAAGTGTCTGTCTGTCTGTCTGCCTTCCAGGAGGATTACTGGTGAACTAGAAAAATGTTGTGTGTCTGTGTCCATCTGGTTAAAACCAACTTTATGTTGAACATTTGAAAAGTTCCCAGTTCTTAAAACAAACCTGAGGACATTTTGATTTGAGGCACAGTTTAAGGCAATCTGTGATCCACTCTGCCTCATTTGATGAATCCACCTGGCACATTTTAAGTTTTACAACCCTTCACACAAATGAATGCACGCACACACACGCACTCACACACACACACACACACAAGGGGGTTTTGAAAATTAGATAAAATAAAGCAATCCAAATTTTCTCTGAGCAATTAAAGTTCCGGTTAAAAGGCAGAGGTGGAAGATGGGAGGGGAAGCTGGGCGGCATCAGTCGCTCAGACAGTAATGACGGCGCCACTGCTGTTTAACAATCAAAGATGGGAGGCGGGGGCTCACAAGGAAGTCTCTCCTCGAAAAATACAGGTGTTTGGTACAATCAAAGCGCTGCTTGCAGAAATGACTGGGTTTGAAGTTGAAAGGGGAGGCTGGAGGAGAGGGGGGGCTGTTATGGTGAGTGAGTGCCTGTATGAGAAAAAAAAAGACTCAGAAGACAACTGTGGGCCGGTCTCTCCTTTGGGATTTTGAATAATTAACAAGGATAAGGAAGTTGACTACTAGGTGCTTACTGTTTACTTTGCTTGGATTTTTTTCTGCTGCTGGAGGGGAAGTGGGGCTTTAGCCGGCCTAGTTCTCTGGAGGCTGGCGTGTTGGCAGGGGGATTTG